AGTCATAACTGTTCAAATGCATATTGCACTAAATGAAACTTTTAAGCATACAATATCAACATTTTGAATTGCTATTAGAATGGAAATCCACATACTTGTACCTGGCACCACAAATCTAGCAGGCTATTTGGGATAATTTAAAATAGGAGTAACATGTTTTCCAACAAACTGGCAAGGAAAAGAACAAGACAGTCCCAACAAATAGGAGTAACACGAGGAGAAAGACAGATGAAAAATTGACGATGACTTGGGTCACACGAATGTTTTGTTTACACAGTCAGTAGGCCATAAAGAACAAGACAAATTGAAAGTATACCCATCTTTAGAACAAAGGCAGAGTCGAGTACAGTTTTGAGTAAAATCAGATCCTTTTCTTTTGGCCGTCTGAACGTATGAAAGCACATGAATGATCGTCACCGTAAGATCTCTAAATATATTAAATGTAGTTCACAGTAATTTATGAGCAGACACATAAACAGATCTTTGTCCCCAAGATCATGGCTAGTGAAGACATCTTATTCTCTGTTTCTAACAACTTTCTTCTAGATTTCCTACATGCTGCAATCAATATGGATTCCAGTGTTCATATAGGAAGTTGCACCTCGTGAAGCTTCTTCTGCCGCCCCTTGGATTCGATGGGGAATTGCCTCAGCATGCAAAATAGCCTATTATAAAACCATGTTAAAAATGAAACCTGCCTGTGTTACAAATTTCAGGCATTGAAGAAAGCAATTTATTTCGGCAGAATATGATCGAATCATCACCTTCCTCCATATAGTATGAAACCAACTGCAGCTATAAAGGATAGCACTGATCAAGAAAAAGCAAAATTAGTAAGGTCATATAATGAAACAACACAATGAGTAGACAAGAAAGAAGTCAAAACCTACCTGCAACAAAGATACTTCCAATTGATTCGACAATCCGATTGTCATGTATCCACAGATAAATCCATATGCAAACCTACGTCAAGTCTCATCATCATCAGCACTAAAACAAAAGCTGAAGACAAAAGAAAATAATACATTATAGTCAAATCACTGCTATTATTAACAACTTCTAATTTTCCTTGTGCAAGATCTTATCACCAAGCAGTTTCTATACAATAACAAGCCGTAAAGCCTAAACTACCAAGCAGTTCGTATAAAAGGTCATTATTAGGTTGTGCCAAACTAAAATATTTTGATAGTCCTATATCAGGTAATAATGAGAAGACATGTACGAGTGGGTCTAGCTGCTACTACTATTAAATGAGAGTTTAGGACACATTATTCAAACGAAGAAGTTCTTCAGCCACATTGATGATAGAAATTATTTAAATATTAAATTAATCAATAAAATTGGTACTAGAAAAAAACTCTATGGATTCTAAGTGGGTTAACGCATGTCAAGATTAGGGTTAGCCCTGGTTAGTTCCACACTCAAAATTCAGAAAGGAACTCTAGGATGGAAAGATGTATAAAATAGTGTCCCAATTAGAATGTAAGTTAATTGACTGAAATTGTAATATCTCAGCATTTTCTCATTGGGAAAAATGAAAGGATACAGCATGGTGTTAATAACTTGAGTTTAACCATCTCCAGCCATGCTAATAAGATCCACTCTATCTAATTCACTGATCTACAAAGGTTAAACGGGTTGTTATATTAACTCCTCGATTAGCCTATTACAAATTATAACTTAAAAGGCTCAATCACCAGAAAAAAAAGCCAGTGCAACTTAGATCATTGAAATTAAGAAAATAAAAGGATGATTTTCAATGTGCAAACAACCAAAGATTCATTTGATGACGAACTAACTGTCATCATCTTGTAAGTATCCTTGTGATATGCTAAATTGGAAGAATGTCTCCTGGGAAGATAACTACCTATGTATTGGCACACAAAGTTTCAACCAGACGATCTAGTTAAATATTCATGTTTTGCCATCTTATCCAATCGAACTGTCAATAGCAGTACCATCATGGCTTTTGCCAAATTCAATAATCCAGTACAATGCACTGAGCACATATTATTTTCTCGGAAAAGAACATTAAAGTTTAATTTTGGTTTGTTAATTAAAATTACACCTTAATGGAAAGTTCATCAATTAACTTGGGGAGTTTAAAGACTCGAAAACAATTCAAGACAAAATAGATACCTGTATGACATATATCCCACAATTAACGATGATGTATATGATCCTCAGCTTGTCTGAAGGAAGACTCCTTGCCTACAATGTCATATCAATATTATCATATGAATGAGAAAAACATTAAACAAATTGTTCTGAGTTCCAAACATGGTTACAGAATGTATAGCTGCATAACAAAGAGGACACAAGAATTCAAACTTACCTGATGATATATTTCAGCCCAGAAAAGCACTAGCAGCGTGTAGGTAGAAAAGAATAATATTCCAGGAAGGTCTAATAACACTAGAGTGAAAACCTGGTAAACAAGAAGCTTTCAACAATGAATTTCAGATTGAAACATATGGTACCGTTCTGAAAACCAAAAACGGATTAAAAACAACATGACCAACTATGTGAACAAGATCAAGATCTTCAGATAACATCTTTCTTCATTTACTATTAAGATAGCAACTGTTTTATCATTAAGGTAACACTTTTAAAGGGGAAAACATCAAGCTACTAAAGAATCTTTGAAAAGCTAAAACAATCCATCCAGTAGACATCATTTTTTTAAGAGTTGAATCTAAAATATCTCACTTACCCTCGGCCGGAAAAGAAAAACATTTTTGTGAAATCCGAAGACGACGGCACGCACTGCAGCACAGATTCGCTATCATGATCTTAAACAGGAAACAGAGACATAAAGATGCCAAGGTCACCTCCGTTCACAATGAAATTCATAAAATGGAAGACCTTCTGCGTGGTCCAACCATATTCAGGGACTCGAAGCTGAATCCTCACCACTTGAATCTGCACAGAACTCGTAGTTTCAAAGTTGCAGTCTTCTCAAAAGGAGCGAGTAAGCTAACGCATGGAGAGTCCACATAAGATCAAAAAATTCCAAAGGTAATACCACATTAACAAGCAACAAGAAGTTTTCCTCCGCGATCGAGAGAGAGGGAGAGAGATGACAGATCCATCACAACTAAGTACATCAAGAAAATGTTGAAATCACAGCATCTTCATCGACTAAAGAAGTGAAGGATGGAGGGACTACCAGCGCAACAGCAGAGACGAGTGAGTATGCAGCGCAGAGGAAGTAGAAGACCACGTCCTGCCATTTGGATGAGTCGTTCATCTCATCCCACCAGTTCTGCACGCTTGCAGCCGGCCACATCATCTCTGTGTCTACCCTCTGCCCGATCTTGTGTGTGTTTGAGAGAGAAAAAGTGAGACTTGATGGAAGACGAGATGCTCGAATATTCCCACACGCACATACCAACATGTAAGAAGGAAAGATTGCACGAGCGAAGAAAAGAAGCAGAGGGAAGCAACCAACCGGTCCCGTCTTCCTTTCCTGCCTCTCACTAACACTTCCTAATGGGCCAATCTCTCTGTCAAACTGGCCCGATGAATCTGTGTTGGATTCTCGGCTTCCACGTATCACATCTCTTGTCATCAGTGTCTTGACTGACGTGCCCATCACCTGACCCACAGCCTACCGTCGCTAATGGCTTGAGCTCATCTTCGGGCATGCTTACCTGCTGGTGATTGTAATTGCGGGAAGTTGTAAGAGCAACTTTTCTCTTCTGCGCTTTCTCTGCTGTTGCAGACTGATCGGTGCATGCACGCAGTCAAATGGCAGACCGCTTTTATTGCTTGCTGTTGCCTAATGTTTATAGCATCCTTTGATCCTCCCTTGACACCACCCGATAAGACAGCCCAGTCGACGACGGCAAGCATGTGAAAATGGGATCTTTGAACCTTATTATGGGCGGTCAGAAGTCACCATGTGGCAAGAAGTCGAATTGGACGACCCTCACATCATGGAAAGCTCCAACAAATGGCAAGATTAGGCTCTGTGCTGTAGGAAATGGTAAAATCGTGGAAGATTCTTGGGACATCAACGTAGTTCTTGGAGAAGATGCAGGCAAAGAGGAGGCCGTCGAGGGATCGAGTCGAAGGGGCTAACGGCGAGATAAATCTCGTCCAAATGGAAAAGAAGCATCTTGAGGAGCCCGACTCACAAAATGGCAAGATCAGCTTTTATACCGTTGGAAAGAGTGAAATCTTGGAAGAGTTTTGGGACAATGACGTGGTTCTTGGAGAAGAAGCCGGCGAAGACGAGGCCACAGTGGGATCGGGTCCAGGGGGCTCGTTACGCTATCATCTAATCCAGATGGAAAAGAATCATCTTGAAGAGCACTACTCACAGAAAGCTCTCATAAATGGCGAGATTAGTTTTTATACAATAGAAACTTGTAAAAATCGTGGAAGATTCTTGGAACATCGAAGTGGTTCTTGGAGAAGATGCCGGCCAAGAGGAGGCCGTCGAAGAATCGAGTCGACGGGGCTCAGGCCGCAATACATCTCGTCTAAATGGAAAAGAAGGGTTAGTCGTGGAAGACACAAACGTGGTTCTTGAAGAGGACGCAGGCGAAAAGGAGACCGTCGAGGGATGTTTCGAAAGTACCGAGGTCATCGGAGAGCACGCTGGCCTGACAGAAGAGGACGGTGACGTGAGGTCGGGCGCCGTTGCGGAGGGGGAAGAGAGGAGGCCGTCGAGGAGGGAACGGACGGAGGAAGGTGAGACGGCGCGGACGGCGAGGGCGAGGAGGGCGCGACTGAGGTGCGAGGTGGCGCCGCCGATTGGGTGCCGGCTGGTCGTCGTTCTCCCCCCTGCCAACCCCAATTTCTTCCCCCTTAATTTTAAGATCCCGAAACACGTAAATTACAAATTTATTATTCTATTTATATTTATATGTTGTAATATACACATATTAGCAAATACAATATTACAATCAGCAAATTGTTATATAATTACAATATGATTTGTAATAAAGGAAAATTATTACAAAAGTGCCATCGCAAACTACTTTCACTGCTTCTGTCAAGTGTTCACCACGGAGCTCTCTAAGTTATAATAAGCCACAGGTATACCCGAAACCTTATCCGGAATCACCAGTGTCCTCCCGGCTCGTCCTCAGTCCTGTGATCGCAGGAGTGAAGCTCGGTTCTCGCAGCACTTCCACAGCCCTAGTGGTCTGCTTGTCGCTTGGGTGGCTTCCGCGGAGCAATCTGTGGATTCGCAGCATCCAGATTCGAGAATCCAGCCGCTGAATTCTGTGCATCTCTCTTGGGAATCGGACTGGATAAATGGAATCGGTAACTAATATGGACGTGAAGAACGCAGCAAAGATCGCTCTTTTATTGCTCCAGTCGATCTCGTTCTCCTCCTCTCCTCTGATCCACTTGTTTCCGGTCCTCGAACAGCAATGGCCTCCATTCCTTGCAGCATTTATCTCTACCCTTCTTCCTCCTTAGGCACCACCAACAGCTCCTCTTCTTCTTCGACTGCTCTTCGTTCTGTCGAGAGACCGAGGTCTCCGTTTTTGGCCATCAGGAGAAGCTTGGGCTGGCTGATGGCATCCAGGCTGAGGGCCAAGGTGGGGCCCTGCGACGCTGGTTCGGGCACGGCCACCGGCGTCGACGCCGAGGGTGCCGGCATTTACGGAAGCCAATCCCGCGATGATTTCAGCCGGTACGACGTCGAACAGGTGACATCACGGAAATAAGGACAGGCAAACAACGTGAAGTGTTTGTGTCATCTTCTCTTTCTGCAGTACTTCGAGCACATGGGAATGCTTGCGGCCGAGGGTTCGCACGATAAGATGGAAGCTCTCCTCGACCAGAAGATTCACCCTGTGGACATCTTGCTGATGGCGGCAGCGTCGGAGGGAGACAAGCCAAAGATGGAGGAGCTGCTGAGAGCAGGTGCGAAGTATGATGTCAGAGATGGCGAGGGAAGGATCGCTTTGGAGAGGGCAGCCAGCGACGAGATCAAGCAACTCATCCTTCAGCTCTCTGTGCGCAGACTATGAATTAAGCATCCACAAGTCCCGATCTCGTGACCTTTTCTTTCCGCTGCTTCTTAGTCAACTTACTCTTCTGATCTCCTGTCAACTCCAACTTTTTGTGCATTTAACAGCATTATAATTCCCGTTAATTCAGTTGTCGTATGTCACAAGCAATTAATCATAGACATTGCGGCGTTTCTTATATTGTTAATCATAAACTTTCTATCAACTACATATGTGACTATTGCGTGCCACCTGAAGATAGAAAACAGAGGGAGGAACTGCTGCAAGCGGCAACAAGAGCTTCTCTTTACATTCACAGCTAATCAACAGATGTGGTCTTTATTTAATCCCAGTTCTAGGTGATGATTCTATCACTGGTAGGTTGACCACACAGCAGTCCATAGGTCGGGGAAGTTTCCTCTACTAAGCGTACTTGCAGGCTCCATAACCTGCAATCAAACAATATAATCTCCTTGAGAAAAATTGTAGTACCAAGTAGAAACAAGAAAGTTGAAGCTCATACTGACTTGGATCAGTGACCGTGGTGACGGCAGAGTTATTGAAGTAGCAGTTCCAGTGGTTCCTCCCCCGGGATTGATAGTAGAGGTTCATGGCCACCGAAGCATGGGAGATCAGTGTGTCAGGGTAGAAGCAGGGCTCTCCCCTTTCGATCACGCTGCAGTCGACCTGAGAACAGGCGTACTCGATGTCGTCCTTCAGAGTTATATCACTGGTTGAAGGTTTGGCCACGCACCATGTTTTCTGGAATGACAAGAATCAGGGCAGTCAACTTAGGATAAACATGGAGAAGTCACCGAAAACTCGAGCTCATTTAGGTTTTCTTTTGGGTCAATTAACTATGAGAGAGAGAACAGTAAAATCAATTGTTGCAGAGAGGTTTCGTACGCACCTGGGCATCAACTGTGTTGATAGTTCCCCCTGAGAGAAAACAATCAGAAAACTGTGAGCTTACTGACTAGCTTAAACTTGTAATGGATGCAGAAGAATGATATCCAGTAAAATACATTTGAGATAGATCACAAACAATTTTGTCATACCAGAGCTAAGGAAGAGAAGTAGCAGAAGAACAAGACACAGATTCACAGGTGCTGGAGCCATCCTGCGAAGCAAGAGCTAGAGAGTTCAGCTACTCTGATGATGCAGCTCTTGATTCACTGGTTAAGGTGGCAATGGCTATATATAGCACCCTTGGTGACTCTTATGCTAATTGAATTTTATTGATGTCATGGTTGGACTCTGGCTGGATGCCAGTGGAAGATGCAACCCAAAAACATACATGTCTGTTTTGAGGGAACCATAAACAGTATGTTTACCATCGAAGCAATTCTGAAATGGTGGAGAGAGCTGCCTTCTGGAACAAATTACCATATGGAGCTTGGTGTCATCTTCCACATCTGCAAGGATGCCATCTTGAACAACCTAACCATTGGATGAACAGGTCAATCCATAGCTTTCCTACAACGAAGAAAAGGGTTACTGCAATTTCTTCTCTGATAAACAAAAGGTTTAGCAAGAATCATTTCACACAATGACACTGATTACCATGGCAGGCACTCTTGCATGCTGCAACAAACATGATTCTAACATGCATGATTTAGAAGGTCTTTTTTAAGTATCATTCAAGTGGCTTTGTGAGATCAAGGAATTTATCATGGCACCATGGCAAGATGCATGCTCATATTCATCTCCATGCACCACAGGCCAGTTACTATTAGTAGTAGACCAGCTACAAGAGTTGGTGAAAATTTCTCTGGAATGAAGCAACATGAGTGGTACCATTTCCCAAAAGCTATATTGAGATCAACATTCATGGTTGATTCCCAGAGGTAAAGACTCTTTGAGCAAGGCATTGTAAAGAAGGGGATGTTGCCTGATGTGTCAAACTTCTCCATTTGCACCTATTCCTTATGGTCTCTGTGGTAGGGAGAGGAGGACATGGCCTGCAAAACCTTCAGGAATACCAAGTTATGGCCCAGGTTGGTCTGATATGATCAGCCTAATGCAGTAGTAGATTGATGATATGGTCAAGTAAGGTCTATCTTCAAGTTTGCATCTAGGTTTAGGTTATTAAATCTAGGTTTCCAACAGTTCAACTTCAAGACATTGGATCCACCTCCAACACATGTTTGATTAGAATATGCTTAGACAGACATTTGGACAGTAGGGGATGCAATCCATTTTAAATATGTGATAATGATTTGTTAGTAGTCACCATACAATTCCATTAACACTTGGCAACAAGAAGAACAAGAACAACCCACAAGGCACCAGTTATTCAATTTCATGGATATTAATCATAAATATTTTATGCATTTCCCATTTAACTATGTGGGTATCACAATCTGAAGTTATAGCTCTTTAAATATGGACAGTAGGGGATGCAATCCATTTTAAATATATGATGATGATTTGTCAGTAGCCACTATACAATTCCATTAACACTTGGCAATAAGAAGAACATGAACAACCCTTGGAAAAACTCTATGGGTATCACAATATGAAGTTATAGCTTTTTATATTAGAGGACTATCATTTAATCCAAAGGATAAAAGTGGATTAAATTATTATTATTATTATTATTATTATTATTATTATTATTATTATCATATTTGATAATAATTTCATTAATCATCATTATTGAACTTTGTGAATATTCACTATAAAATAGTATATGTACAGTCATCTTAATCTGAGATAATTACTTTTTTGTTACATGAAACATTCTCATAATAATTAGCACAAGCATCACACTGCAGTCTTCTCAATTCAATGTGGTTATAAGGGAATAACTTTAGATTCCTTATGTTTCCTGCTTTCATTTAACCCAAAAAAGAAAGAAAGATTGGGACAAATAGAACTAAATTGTAACTTGTTTTAATATGGATGTAGATAAAATTAATATGAATAAAAAAAAAAAATAAGGCCCTTTTAAATCAACAATCTTATTATTATATCAAAGTTCACCTTTTTTTTAAAATTACATCTAAATTATATGATTTGATGAGATAATTAACTTATCAATTTTAAGTTTAATTAATAGTAATATAGTAGTATATTTATCAGATCTTTATAAATCAATTTTAATCGTAACTGACGTTACAAACTCTTTTTACATTTTCTATCTAGATCAAATCGTAACATGATATATGTCTCAATACTATCAATCTAGATATCAATTGTCATGACACAATTTAATGAAATTATCATCGATGCAATTTAAATTAAAATTAATAATAATATATTTATTATAATTTTATGAATCAATCTTAAATCTCTTCCAATCTTTGAAACTAATCTGAACAAACCTTTAGTTGTTCTTGTCTCATGGGAACCCATGAGGGAGAAAGAACAAAAGGTGTAGCCAGCAACCAGATTGTCCTTATCTAATATATTTATAGGCATCCTCATGGTAGGTTCCTCTCTCCATCTCTTTTCTTTCACAATCGCATTTATATTCCTTCAAAAAATGTATGATATTTTATTTATCTTAGACAATTAACATTGCACTTGAACATTCTTTTGGTGCCACACTTGAACATTCTGGATAAAAAAAACAATAGCAGCACATCATAGAACACTAATCTTCTATGTCAATCAATCAGTCAATTCTTGATGAAGAAAATTATCTATATGCCACATGAATGGAATGGCCTATTACTTGTGTAGTTTTAATTTAATATTCTGAATTGCATTTTACAAAACCTTCATTAATTGTTTGTGTAGAATAAATTTCTTGAAACCACCAATTTTAGTGGAAGCATTTATTCTCAGACACAATTAACATCTAAAGATACTTTTATTTTAAGCAAACCTACAAAATTATGATAAAAAAATATCGATATTCCCTATGGATGAGTGGCAAACATCTGAGAAATGGACATTTCATTTGAGGTGGAAATTATGGTTCCAAGTGCCTCTTAAGCCAACATCAATCTTTGTAGTGGCAAGTGTTTTCTCCCTCCATTTAGTCCAACAATATTATATTCTTTTGGAATCCACTTACCATGGACATATTCTTAAAATGATTTAGAGAAAGTGCATGAGATAGTTGTAGTGAGCTAAGAACAAGATAAAAATCCTCTAGAAGAATAACCACAAAGTTTCACTTGACATATTTCTGTTCTCAGTGTCTTTTCCACCTGTAGACTACTGTGTATCTTTTTCTCATGTGTTGCATGCCTTAGCATGGTTCAGATGCGAGAAGAAAAGTATTCAGAGCAGAAGTGGCAACAAAATCAAAAGAGAAAAAAAGCCATTGAGTTGAGATTTCTCGCAAACAATGTAATGGAATTCATGATTTTGGGAATTGGACATTATTATTTGTACTGAGAATATCAGAGGCATCAGTGCTGTGGCATTCATTCTAAATCATGCAGTGGGCATCATATGCTTCGGTGTCAGTCATTTTGTGACAATGACATGAAGACAATCCTGCCCACCTCTTCTTCTCCATGACATTTGAGATGATAACCTTCTCCCTACAGAAGTGGAATATTATCTCTGTCCAAGGCACTGATTCAAGAGAGAGAGAGAGAGAAAGAGAGAGAGACTTCTTTTGAAAAGTGAAGTATGGTTCTTTCCCTGTTTCCCAAGCCTATAAAGAAGGGATTCTCCAAGCACATGGGAAAGCAAGGAGGCATGCAATTCTTTACTTCTCATCAGTCCATGCTCTGAAACTTCCCTGCTTCCCCCCACAGCCAAAAGAGGAGGTTTCAGGTCCTCTTTGTGCTTTCTTATCCCTCAAACATCTCCTCCCTTTGATCTTTTCTTATAAGATTTCACGTTAGATTAGCAGTTCTTTTGAGCAACACTTTCACATGTTATAATCAAGAACAGAAAGCAAGGCAACAATCCTATTGGTTCTCTCGGAGACCATGGCCTCGGCTTCACTGCTTGCCATGTGGTTCTTGCTTGGTCTACATGGAGCTGTGTGTCAGATTGGCAACGGACCCAGTTCCTCCTCGAAGCCCACCATGGTGAACATCGGTGCCCTTTTCACCTATAATTCCACCATTGGAAGGGCCGCCAAGATCGGGATCGAGCTCGCCGCCGAGGATGTCAACGCGGACTCCACAATCCTGGCGGGGACGACGCTGAACGTGATCGCACAAGACACCAACTGCAGCGGCTTCGTCGGAACAGTGGAAGGTGAACTCAGGATTTGGTTGATGATATTGTTTTTTGCTACTCAGCTGCTTAAAGAGGACGCGTGATCATCACATGAGTTTTCTTGTGCCGTTCTTGCTTTAATTTCTCTTAATTCTCATCATATTTTGCACCATTTCTCCATCACACCGATGCAGCCTTGCAACTGATGGAGAAGAAAGTGGTCGCGGTCGTCGGTCCGCAGTCCTCAGGCATTGGCCATGTCATCTCCCACGTCGTCAACGAGCTTCACGTGCCGCTCTTATCGTTTGCTGCCACGGATCCGACCCTTTCTCCACTTGAATTCCCCTACTTCATTCGAACAACCCACAGTGATTACTTCCAGATGAATGCCGTTGCGGACTTGGTCGAACACTTCGGGTGGAGGGAGGTGACGGCCATCTATGTCGACGACAACTACGGCAGGGGAGGCGTGATAGCGCTCGGGGATGCACTCGCGAGGAAGAGGTCCAAGATCTCGTACAAGGCCGGCTTCCCTCCCGGTGCCGACTCCGACGTGATCCGTGACCTGCTGGCGGGAGTCAATCTGATGGAGTCTCGGGTCTACGTCGTCCATGTCAACCCTGACTCCGGCCTCAGCGTCTTCTCCCTGGCCAAGAATATGGGGATGATGGGCACCGGATACGTGTGGATAGCTACTGATTGGCTTGCTTCAGATTTGGATTCGTTCGGGACGGAGGATCCGAGCACCATGAGCCTCGTGCAAGGAGTCATCGTTCTCCGCCACCACACCCCGGAGTCTGACCTCAAGAGACGATTGACGTCGAGATGGAAGAGCATGATCCAGGAAGGAAACACCACGGCGAGCTTGAACAGCTATGGATTGTATGCTTACGACTCGGTCTGGTTGGTCGCTCGTGCTATCGACCGATTTCTGAGTGCAGGACAGATCATAAATTTCTCCGTTGATCCTCGGCTGCACGATGCCAAGGGCAGCTCCCTCCGCTTGGCGACGCTGCGAGTTTTCGACGGAGGCGAGCGTCTGCTTCATC